ACAACACTCAGCTCTGGTCACACTGATCAACATAATTGGTCTGCTCTGGCCTCCAGCCAGGAGGCCTGAAGACACACTATCCACAACACTACAGATGTTTTTGAGAAGGCACGCAGGATGGCCTTGACAGTCTGCCCCTGCAACGAGCTGAGCAAACAAGGCGGCAACATCGACAACTCCTGATTTAAATCCTGGAAAACACAGAAAAGCTCAAAACGACTCTCACTACTGCCATAGCAGATGCAAATGCAATTATTTGATGGTCTAAGGACCTCACCCTGGCACAAGCCTGCATTGTCTCTAGCTAGTTATGTAACTAGCAACTTCTGTATCTGTCACAAAACTTGTTTCTCTACAGCATCTTGCAGCTTTTCCACGAATTGTAAGAATGGTTCCGGGGCACCTGGATGCATAGTGGTGTATTTTGTTTCGGGCTCTGCCAACCTTGCAGTCTGCACTAATGTTTGCCGGCTTATGATTTTTACTTGTTCCAAAACTAGTGGTCTCCTGCGCAGCTTACACAGCTAAGGAACAACAGCAGTGGAAAAACTCCACCTGAGACTTAACTTGCATAAATTTCATACAAGGCTGTAATAGAATATTAAATTTTTGTAAGAACTTCTTATTTAACTTCAGTTCAGATCATACAGCTAGCCGGACAGGGCTAGTCTAGAAATAACTAAAACCTCATCACTCACGGTGGGAATTTGAAGAATTCATATACCATTCAGAATAAGGATTCACTATGGTTCAACAGAATCATGTTACACATCTCCAAAATGTTAACACTGGCAGAAGGTATTTTTAAGTTTACTCAGTCACACATTCATGTAGCTTTTCTCTTTCACACCACATTCAGGTGGCCACCTCAAACATGCTCCTCAATCACACACATTTTCAAGTAGTCACTGACTGTGCACTTCTTATCAGTTTCATAATTCAAAGGAAATTTATGGCATAGCCGTCATCAGCAATCTGCAAATCCTGCATAACTCTCTATGTAAAAGACAGATACAGCAAGAAAGAACAGAATATTATCTTGGAAATCTTCAACCCTTCTCATAGAGCAATGATATTCTGTCATAAAGGCAATAAAACTACTTTTGCAGGGGGCAAGACTATGTCCCCTTCTGTCTCATCGTTCCGTCTCCAAATCTTCTACCTGCACCCTGCCCCTGGGGGAAACAGCCAAATTTCATGTAAGAGATGCGAAATAGCAAGCTATAGGAAATTCTTAATAACCTTCTGTAATATGCAAAAGGCTAAGCACGGATGTTGCATTATTTCTAATCTCGCTTCAAAGGATTTTTCGTCAGTCTCCCTTTCTGTTTTTGAAGAAAACATTTGAGAATGCCATGAGCACGCTGCATGCGTAACACCTATTGCTGTAAAAACAATGCAATCTTATCTGATTTATAAGTTGGGATATTGTTAATTTTAAGTTGTTTTTTCTCTTTTCCCTTTTTTCTGTGTTTTACCGTCTTTGCCTCCCCCCCGCCCCTCATTGCTGAAAGACGAAGGAGGGGGAGGAGGGACTGGGCTCACCCAAAGAAAATCAGCAGAAGGAACTTAATCACAGAGTCTGCTTAAGAAAAGACAAAAACATAGGAGAGGGAGAGAACAGCTGCAAACAGTTTCAGAGAGGGGGTGACTGGTCTAACGGGGAAAAGGAGAAACAGCTTTCCCCCTCCTCCAACTGCACCCCTCAAGGCTTTTGCTACCATCATTAACTCGCCGCTCTAGGAAGAGGAGCGGCACCAGGGAAAAAACACTCGCTGCAAAGAAGGGAAGGGGAACGCACACCCCCCAGGACCATGGCTGTCAGCAGTGCGGGGGACACAGAGCCCCCCCGTTGCTCGCCGCACCTGGAGCCGCCGGTGTGCACGCACGGGGGCGCACCGCTCCGCACAGGCGCCGCGACCACCACCACTGCTCCGCTGCCCGGCGCCGCCCCGTAGACACCCGCCACAGGCGGACAGACCCGGCGCCAGCACGGGTTCACTCGGCACGGCGGCATAAGCACACAACGCCGTGAACACAGCCACAAACGCGCAGCGCAGTCCCGCAGTACAGTTCAGATGAAAAGCTGGAAATGTCTTAAGGTGGAACTCAGTCATAGTGCTCGTAAAGTTCATCTCTGGTCCATCAGCAGTACTTTCACACTGCAGCCGTCATCTCCGATCGTCCTGGATATGCACTGCCGAGATGCTAGCACCGCGTTCATGTTGGCGGGGCCGCTCGGTTGTCCCCGGCTCCGATCCGTGATTTCTTGTCCCGCTCCGTCTCCCTTCAACTCCGCTCGACTCCCTTTTTACACGATTTCTCTGTATGATGGTATCTAGTAGCATTCTAATGTCCTCATACTGTGCTCTAATGCCTTTTACTATTCCAGATAACAATCGCCAAGTTGTAAGGAGGGAAGCAGCAACTTTTTCTCCCTTAGAGGCAGCAGTAAAGAGCTTATCACTAAGTTCTTTCCAAGTAGAGATAGTAAAGGCAGTTACAGTGTTCGCTTCATATCCCTGGCCCTTACATGAAAGCAGCATCTGCCGCAAAGCCAGTTCGTCTAATTTTTCTTCCTTTTTAAGCAGGATAGACTTCCATATAGATGCAACATTAGATCCCTTTTGTTCTCGGTGGCTCACCTGTCCAGGCGTCTTGTCTGGTTGGCCTGGCAGTTTCTCCACTTCTGTCATGTTACATTGAGCTCCGTCTCCGCGTCAACCTCCCACAACTTAACCTCATAACGTCTCCATTCTCTTTCATCAAAAACTGTATTAGGGTCCACAAAACAACTTTTAGCAACCCTCGTCGTAAGCAATCTTGGTAATTCTTTTTTCAAAGCTATACCCTTAAGTCCCCGCTTTTCTAAAAAGCACTGGAGTAATAAAAGCACCGCTTGTCTTTCCATACCTATAAATCTTCAGCGCGCTGTTGCAGCCTTTTACAAGACGTCGACGGTGTTGTCGGTCAGGACCCTTCTGTAAGGTCGCCTGGGGCGCGGAGTCCAGCTCTTTCGCCTCTTGTGCTGCTTCAGGACCGACCGGCTACTGCGTCAGACCGTGGCTTCGGGGGATGCAGATTTAACTTACCCCCTGTTCAGGTTTCAGGGACCGCAGATTCAACTTAGTCCCTTGGGGCATACTGATTTAACTTAGCCCCTGGGGGATGCAGATTTAACTTACCCCCTGTTCAGGTTTCGGGGACCGCAGATTCAACTTAATCCCTTGGGGCATACAGATTTAACTTAGCCCCTGGGGGATGCAGATTTAACTTACCCCCTGTTCAGGTTTCGGGGACCGCAGATTCAACCTAGACCCTTGGGGCATACAGATATAACTTAGCCCCTGGGGGATGCAGATTTAACTTACCCCCTGTTCAAGCGTCGGGGACCGCAGATTCAACTTAGTCCCTGTTCGGGCGCCATTTGTCGTGACGAGGGAAGAATGAGACGCTCAAGATGAGAATCAGCAAGCTTCGTTTATTGATCATTGCTAACAGCTTAATATACGCTTTATAATTAGTTCATACATATTGCAAAAGCTAAGCTCATTATTGGTTCTGCTTAAATGTTGATCTCACCTCTTACTCATTTCTTTGTTGACACAGGTGGTACTCAGTTGCTTTTTGTTTTGCTAATCACAATGTCCTGTTTACCAGCCAGCTAACAGGGTACAAGGGCACTGTAACCTCGCTATCTAAGATGTTCCCACTGCCTAGGCAAGCCGTGTTCTATAGCCAATTCCCTACAGCCACTCTGGGGCCCTTCCTTCCTCTACATAGATGGGAAATGCTTTTAGGAATTCAGTGTCTTTAGCGCTAGCAGCCTCCTCCCTGAAGGCTCTCCAGATATCTGGTAGCTTAAGCTGCCATTCAGGGGAGTGCTGCATTAAGTCTATGTCCGGTTCAGGGTGGCGGCAGGCGGGGTAGGCCTCGGTGGTGTGAGGCCTATGGGCGCAGCCATCTTGCCGGAAGGAGGCCCTGACCTTCGCCTTGACCCTGTCCTTTGCCACCCTTCCGCCCCTTGAAGGTGATGTATCCGGGGAAGAGGCGGGGCTGGAGGAAGTGGGTGTGCTCGTGGGCATGCCGGGGGAGGGATCTCTGATGCAATCAGGTGAAGGCGGAGGCGGCCTGGAGGGTGGTGCTAAGGGAACCCGCCTCCTCCTTTCCTGCGCTGATTTTTCCCGTGGTGTCCCTTCCCACCTTTTCTCCGCATGGTCCCTGGGTCCCTCCTCCTCGACGCCATTTTGAATTCGGCGCGATGGTTTCTTCCCCCTCCCTCCATCTTGTGTGTCTGTCTGCTCAGTGTCCGTCTCTGTCTGCTCAGTGTCCCTCTCTGTCCGCTCAGTGTCTGTCTTGGGGAGGCTGATATTCTTGTTCATCATCTGGTGCTGTAGCACCATCAGAACTAACCTCCATGCGATGAGCGCCTCTTTAGCTATACGGTCCCCCTTATCGCTGTCCCGCCAGAGGCTGTAGCCTATGGCTTGCCACTGCTCTACGCTGGTGTCCTCGGCAAGCTGGTGACCCTTGTGGTCGAGCCATCTGGCGAGTGATTTTGCCAATTTTTTATCTAAGGGGTGACCGTGTTCTATTACAAAGTCTTTTAGGCGCCTGTATACAAATTTTTGGGAGGTTGAGAGTGTGAGTCCCATGTTGATGTTAGTCGGGTCTCAACAACAGTCTCTTGATGGAAAGTCCTCCCTTTGGTGTTCTGCCGGGCTGTGGGTGTTAGGGTAGGGTGAGGAATGTCCTCAGCAGTTCACCTGTCTGGTGCGTCGACCCGTGCAGCTACCGCTGAGCCCACAGCCGTCCGCTCTGCTGAGGAGGACCGGCGGGGACGATCGCCTCTCCTGGCGTCACCTGAACCCAGGTGAGGACACAGGAGTTCTCTCAATATGAGAGTCCTCAACTGTGCCCCACGTTGGGCACCACTTGCCATGGTCCGGGGGGATGGGAAATGGGACCGAGCACTGCAATAACGGTTCTTGGCACAGTCGAGGGTTCGTGCAGCAATGCCACTTTATTCAGGGACAACAGGGTTTTAAATAAGGTAAGTCTGAGGGGAGGATTCTGAACTGGGGAGGAGCATGGAACTGACAACTCAGGGAAAAGTGTGATAGGGAGACAGGGAAAAGGCGGGTGGAACTTCGGAGTCTCCAGGAGAAAGGGCCAATGGGGGCTCTCTTTGCACTGCAGCAAACTGTAGCCAATCAGTGGCAGAGGGGCGGGAAAGCAGGGGAGGACAGGGTGACAAACAACTTTGGGCAGGAAAATCTGAGGGAGAAAGGGGAACAATATGGAGGTATAACAAACTTCATAAAAATTCAACAGTAAACTGGGGTACATAAAACTCCATGACAATACAGCAATAAACTGGGGTAAAACTGGGGAACAACTGTCAGTCCAGTGGATGAATTGTCCAGTGTATAAAAGTCCATCTAGTTCCCATAGATGCTTCTCCATGCCACATATCTTTCCCAATTGGTTTTTTCTTCCACCACACCCTGCTACATGCAAACATAACAAACGACAGCATCAGCAGATGTCTTTCCATTCCTCTTTCCCTTCCCATTCTCCGTTCCTCTTCCCTTCCCATTCCCACAGCCAACACACTATTTCACTTCTCACTTTAACAAAACTCTTTTCTCCTTCAAGCCCCTCAAAAGCACCAAGGCCACATAGGAGGCCACACACAAACAGTACTCCTCTTCCCACTTGACTACACCTTCTCCCTCACTGTTCTACAGGGAACACCAGGAATCTGCTGGCAGAGGCCTCTCGTTTCCCATCAGTAGCTCAGCACAAGGAGTTAAAGGAGCTCAAGCCTTAGGCCACAAGAGCTGACAGCAAGGAAACTTTGGGAGCAAACTAATGCTGCTAACACGGACCCAGCTGAATCCAGCACACAATCACAGAATCCAAGAGTCCTTCAGCTTGGAAAAGACCTCCAAGCTCACTGAGTCTTGTGCAGCCCCTCCCTGACCGCCTGCAGGGAGGGGATGATGCTTTGCACAAGCACCAAAAGGAATGTTGTGAAAGCCATGGCCTGCAGGAGGACACAGAGAAGGGCTTGGTTGGGGCTGGGAAGGAGGGAGCTGGCGCTGGGGGAGCGGGGATGGAGCCTCGGGGATGTGGCGCAGCAAGGACAGGGGCCCAGGCAGCTGGCAGGCGGCAAGGCCTCACCCCCTGCCCCAGCAGCAGCACCGGGCCCTGCCCAAGGCACTCCTGCCAGGGGCTGGGCCCTGCAGGCAGGGGCAGAACCCACTCCCTGGGGCGGCCTTGCTGCCCTGGCCCTCGTCCGGCCCAGCCTCTCCCTGTGTGCGTGCTCCCCACAGCACAGGCTGCACTGGGCAGCATCCCCTGATGGGCCCTGCAGAGCTGCCCCATGCGGACACTTCCATTTTATGTCACAGGTGCCACAGCCTGTCCCAGCCAGCCCTGCCCATTGTCCCCACCCCGGCTCAGTGACTCACAGTGGCCCCTGGCAACCAAAGAACCAAAGCCCCACACCCCCAGAGTGCAGCCCTACCCATCTGCAAGGGGCCCCCAAAGGGTTCCCTGCACAAAGCAGCCCCTCCAAACCCTTGTCAGATAGAAAACTGGGGGACGTGACCCTTGGATGCTTTTAGTACAGAGATACAAGTCTTTCTTGAATAATGGAGGGGGTCACTTTTTAATTATTAATATTTACAGTTATCCATTTGGGGACAGGATGTCCTACAGGCTAATGTGGTGTCACATTTGGAGTGAAAAGTACTTTTCAAAGAAACCCAGGGTGCATGGGTGATGCAGGGGAAGCTGCCAAGTCACCCAATGTGAAGCTCAACACTGCTTTGCAACAGCACTGCCCTTTCACACACATCTTTGGCAAAGACAATGATGTCAGGCTTTAGTTTCTAAATCAGTAACACTTGACAAGACCTCTTTATGAACTGACAGCAAGAGAACTTAGGAGCAGCTTAGGGTTGGCAAGTGTAGGAGCCAAGAAGAGAAGGGCTGATGGGTATGTCATGAACACTGACAGCTGGATGGTCGTGGAACCGACCAAGGACTGCCAGATACAAAAGACATCACCTGCTGGACTTGGCCCAAACACCAGCCCCCTCCTCTCCCTTCTCAACCACTCAACCACAGCCTGCACACACCCACACCTGCCAGGGCCAACTGACTGTTTCTCTTCTCTTTTCTGCCTGGGGGCGAAGGAAGAAGGACAGGGAGGGCATTTGCCTTCGGGCCAGAGGGAAGGGGAAGGAGATCCCCCCAAATCCATCCCTGGCAGGATGGGGGCTGGAGGAGACATTGGGGGACCCCCAAGAATATTTTCGAGGGGAAGAAAGGATGGGGGCACCCACAGGGGGTTGGGGGGGGAGGGACCCAGGAATCTCGTGGTGGGACACTGGGGAGTTCCCAGTAGTTTCTTGGGGGGGTGGACCCCCAGCAGTCCGGGGTGGAAAAATGGACGGAGGAATCCGCCGTAAAGGGTGGGTGACACCCAAAAGACTCTAGGAGGGGGTCGGGAAGGACCCCGGAGTCCTGAAGAGTGTTTGGGGGTCCCCAGGAGGGAGTCTGGGGGTCTGAGGTGGTCCCAGGAGATTTTCAAGGGTTAAGGGGATGCACAGGAGATTTGGGGGACGAGGGGGAAAGGCGGAGGGTCCCCAGGATTCTTGGGGGGATCTGGGCAGTTCCCGAGAGTCTTGGGGGAGATTCGGAGGGGTCACCAGGAGCCCCCGGACCCCCTGAACTCACCCCACACCACCATGGCCTCGTTGGGGCCGCACGTGAAAAACAGCGCGGCGGGGGGAGACCCTGGGGCCGGGATCGATCGGGACCAATCGGGTTCAATCCCGATCCTCCCCTCCCCCGCCATCACCGCCCCGCTCCCGGCAGCCCCCGCGGAAGTTTCGACGGTCTATTGGGTGACTCACCGGCACAAGGACAGGGGCCCAGCAGAATTTGGCAATGACGTCATTCCAGCAGAGCCGTTCTATTGGCTGCGACCCACGAGGGAGCCCCAAAACCTGTTCATGGCTTGGGGGGAAGGACAGCCGGCACGGCCAGGAACGGGGGTGCAGAGGGTGTTCAAGTGCCCAGGAAAGGGGCAAAAAACTTTCCCCTCTCCCTCCCAGTGCCCCCTCAGCCCATCCCAGTGTCTCCCCTCTCTCCCAGTGCCCTCTCATCCCATCCTGGTCTCTCCCCTGCTCTCCCAGTGCCCCCGTCCATCGAGGTCCCAGCCCGGCCCTGCCCCCTGCTCTGCTCCGGCCTGGATTTCTCCCCTGCAGGGGCAGCTGAGGTGGCTCCAGGGCGGGCGGGAGCTTTCGGGGCACGGGGTGGCTCCTGACATGCTGCTGGAACCGCCCCTGCCTGGGCGGGCCCGTCAGCCTGGGGCACCTCCTCACCCGAGCCTGGGGGACGGGCCGGCAACTGGGAGGGGCTTTGGGAAGGAATGGGGAGGCTGAGAAGGGGTTGGAGGTCGTGGGGGTAACTGGGAAGGTGTTTGGGGGAGTTTGGGGGTTTGGGAGGGAGGTTGGGGAGATTGGGGCAGCTGTGAGGGGTTTTGGGGAATCGTCGGGGATGTGGGAAGGAACTGGGAGAGAGTTTGGGGGCATACTCAAGGGGAAGGGGGCAACTAGGAGAGGGTTTGAAAGGTCCTGGGAGGGCTGGAGGTAACTGGGAGGGGTTTGGGGGCATCTTGTGGGTTTTTGTGGGTCTGGGAGGCAGTCTGGGGGCCTCGGAGGGTTTAAGGGGAAGTTGGGAGTGTCCTGTGGGACCGGGATGGGATTTGAGGGTTCCTGGAGGGGCTGGGAGGGCTTTATGCCTTTATACTGCGGGCATTGTCTAGTATTGATGGGGGTAATCCGTGAGTTGACTGTTTCATAATCATCCAAATTTTAACAAGACTTTGAAGGTGGTCAACCTCAGTTTGAAGCAGCTCATTTTTAGCAACAAATTTATCCGATTTTTCTCCTGTTTCCCTCTCAAAGGCTAACGATGACTTCAACACCACATTTTCTGATTTCAAAACAGTAGACTCAACATCAGAAATCCATTCATGACTTCCCTGTCACCACTCCATCCGAATGTCTGTGCACTCACTGTGGCCTGAGAGAAACCTGCCTGTTTGCAGCGCACTGACTGGGCAACTTTTCTTTTTGCAGGTGGAAAAGGGCAGATAAAGAAAAAACAGATGGGTCCAGCAGAAGTGATGCTGCTTCTGTCAAAAGCAGAGCAGAGGCCGAAAGCACTTTAGGAAGTTGCTTACAGAAGCACTTGTGCATTCCAAGTTACAGCTCAGGAGTCTCAGTGACTTGTCCAACATGGGAGCTCCTTTTCCATTTCTCAACCCCCAGATTCCTCAGGAGTAGGAAACTGAAAACACTGACTCAGAAAAGCTCCATTCCTTCCTAATAATTGTGCTTTGTCCTTCCCATTTGACAGTGCTCTTGGAAATGTGCTGGTGTGATCTGGATCTGGGAGCAGCCCTGACCTCCCACAGCCCTGACCACACACACCTCATCCAACGGCAGGAAGAACCTGCCTGGCTCCTGCTGGGGTTCTCACCACCCACCGACAGCTTCTCCCTGCAGAGGGGTGGGCAACTACCCAGGCAGGATGAGACCTGACCCCAGCAGGCAGCAAAGTCCCTGCCCTGGCACAAAGAACCCCGGAGCACAGGGACCCTGCTCTGCAGGACAGCCCCGGGCATCCCTGGCTGCACCCCCACCTTCCCACCCCGCAGCCATCCCTGGGAGAAGGAGCCCACCTGCGCTGTCCCTCTGACGGTGCTGCAGGGAAGGCCTGCCCTGGAGAACATCCTCCTCCGGCGCAACAGAGAAACTGGGAGAGTCCTGACAGATGTGCAAGGCTGTGGGATGTGGTAGCTTTAGGAGATTCCTCCAGGAACACAAGCGACATTGCCCTGCACCTGTAGACTCACTCTGCAGAGGAGTGTGAAGTTGTGTCCCCAAGTTGTGTCTCAGCTGAACACCTCCCATCTTTCTGCTGCCTTTAACCTCCCTTTGCCTTTCTTCTCTTCTCTCGTGCCTACAGGCAGTGCCCTCGGCCCTGCTGGGCTGTGCAGAGGAGCTGCTCCTGGGCAGAGCTGTCTCTCTGCAGTGCTGCCCGCTTGCCAGGATTTCCCTGTGTGCCAGGAGCCCGGCCCAGCTGAGCAGCACAGCAAGAGCCAAAGGCAGCCCTTTCTCTGCCCCTCTGGGTTCCCCGCAGGTGTCCCTGGGGCTCCAGGGGAACCTGCTGTGGAACAGACTGAAGGAAACAATGATGTTCCCTCTTCTCACCTCTTCAGTGACACTTCTTTCCAGCAGTGACACTTCTTTCCAGCAGTGACACTCTTAGAAAATTACCAGGGTATGATGATCACCTTTTCTAGTTTCATCATTACACAGGACACCAGGAGGGTGACAGCAAAGGATCTGGTAACTCCCTGGCACAGCGGGGGTTTTCCTGGAGTCACACAGAGAAATGTGTCAGGGCTCTGAGAGGTGTCCAACCCTGAGCTGGACTGATGCACACACGGGGGTGTTCAGAGACACGAGTCCTTCCCTGGCACACACACAGGCAGTTCATTGCAGCAGGGGCAGTGTCTCCCTGGGCTCCTGCTACCACTCCCAGAGCCTGGAGCCACCTCAGCCCTGTAATGCTCCCACCCTGCCCACTCCTACACTTCAGATGAACATTGGGGTTTTCTAGTCACTGGAACTGCCCAGACCAGCCCCTCCCTGGTCCCCCCATCTCCCTGCCCCGCCCCAGCCCAGCAGAGCAGCACAGTCGTTTCTGGTCCTGCAGCAAGAAAGGGAGGCAATAGAGGACAGGGACAGTGACTGCATGTCTGGACTGCTCAGGAGATCATCAGCTCAGGCGGCAGCTCCTGCAGCCCCAGGGCCAGACCCGCTTCCCAGTGGCCCAGGCAGCTGCTGCCACGTGGGCACAAGCTCTGCTGCCCAGGAGGGTCCTGTAGTGAAGGACTTTGCAGATGGCCACGTAGCGGTCATAGGACATGATGGTGAGAAGGGCAAGCTCCGCTGTGATCAAGAAGAAAAGCAAAAAACACCTGTGCAGCTCATCCTGAGTAGGACATGCCCCTGGTGTTCCAGAGGGAATTGGCCATGGCTTTGGGGAGAGTGGTGCAGATGCAGCCCGGGTGTGTGAGGGAGAGGTGGAGCAGGAAGAAGTCCCTGGGGGGTGTGCAGGTGGTGGTGGCAGGCTACGGCGCTGAGGATGAGGCCGTTGCCCAGGAGGGCAGCCAGGGAGATGCCCAGGAAGAAGCAGAAGTGCAAGAGCTGCAGCCAGGAGGAGGAAGTGGGGGATGGAGCTGTGTGGGAGGCGTGTCTGGATGCACAGGGGATGTGCCAGGGCGATGGGCCCGAGGGGACATGCGCAGTCACATATAACTCTATTGGCTGAAGAAGTCACATGGTACACAGGGATTTAAGAGTGGGAATTTTGAATAAACTTCTCTTTGTCTCACCACCGCACGAGGAGCATCATTCATTCCTTGTTATACAAGGGTCGCCTGCTACATGTGGCGCCCGAACAGGGACATCTTTAGCTTATATTAAGTGAGATATCTATCCTGGATCAGGAGATCAGCTGGTGTCTCCGGGATCGTCTTAATTTTCGGAGACGGGAGACTTCACCAGAAAAAACCCTGACGTCAATAAACCCCGTGCTCTTAGTGGCTTCTAAGAGACGGACAGTTAGTTTAGCAAGCTCAATAATAGTAAGATAGTGCATGGAAGAAGAGAAGAAAGAGTTAAGGAAGAAACCGAGAGGTCAAAGCAGCCACTGGAGAGAGTGGAGAGGATCAACGCAACATCGAAAGCTGTGAGTGACTGGGACGCACCCCGCACGTCTAAGACTGCTCCCTGGGCGAAAGCGTGCCTGCAGCTCGGAGAACGAGCCGCGGAGCACCTTAAGATCGTCAGGGAAAGGCCTGTTAGTCCCCTGAGTGTCGGTCATCTGGTAAAGCGACTCTTCGCTACCGACTGTGTGGACCACGTGCAAGAAGCGGCTTGCCGCTGCCGCGTCCTAGCAACCCCAGCCACCGCTGACCCCCGCGGAGCCCCCGCTCCAGTTTTCTGTCCAGCAGAAACTGGCCGCGGCTCCCCGCCTGCTCACCGCTGCTGACTGACCCTGCGGCGTGCTTAAAAAGCACTGCCAGCAAAAAGCCCCTGCGCCGTATTCAGACCGCGCGGGCTTCACCGAGGCGCCGCGCCGCGCCTTCCGACACAGCGTGCCCCCGACCCCCGCGCCGCCCAGCGAACCGCGGGAACCCCCGGAGCCGCCGCTGCCGCCGCTGCGAACGCCGCGCTCAGCGGAGACGGAGCCGGGACCACGCCGAGCCGCCGCCACGTGACTGAGACGCCGCCGCCAGCGCCGCCGCTTCGTTCGCCGCTTTGCAACCCGCACACGCCGATCCCTGCAGCCCCAAGCCGCCGCCTCTACAGCCAGCCCCCGCGTCCGTCGCTACAGCTGCCCGTGCCTGCCGCCGCCGCTTGCCGCTTGCCGCCTGCACCGGGACATCAGCCACCGCCGACGGGGTGCCACAGCCCAACCGACAGTGAGCCAACACAAATCAACAAACCGACAGACCCTCTTCAGCAGCGCACCCCAGCAGCGCCGAGACACAAAGGTAACATGGGAAACTTTTTCCCTACCGAAGTATCACGGGACACAGAAGCACTGGCTGCTCTGCTGAATCCTTACTATGTTCAGGTTACAAGGGCTGAATTATCAGAGTTGGTGCGGCTCATTAAAGCAGCCGTACCAGAACTACCTCTGGTTGAAGCCCTCAACATTCACATATGGGACAAAATAGGCAATCTTATCAAACTCAAGGCTCAGAGAGGGGATTCCCAAGCAAACAATGCTTACCCAGCCTGGCAAGCTATAATGGACTGCATTAAGCAGATCCCACCAAAGAACGACGAACACATACACCCCCACTCAGGCTGCAAGCAGCAGCCCCACTTTTACGCGCCGCAGTTTGAACTCACAAAGCTCCGCGGGGGGAGGGGGTGGAGCCGTTCACAATTCAACTCCGGGGAAGGGAACCGGGAGCCCAAGGGACACGGACCGGCGGGAGGGAGCGGGGCCCCAGATGCGAGGTTCCAGTCAGTGGGACAGCAGCAGGGGGTCCC